TTCTGAAAAGGACTTTTGGAAGTGAAATGATAACATCAACTCCAAGTGACACATGGGCCCATACCCACCAGGTTGGTGGTGCAGAGGAGCTGGACGAGATGAAGGATTCTGGATCAGAATGTTCCTATTTAGAAGACACTTTAAGATACAACCACGTGTGCAGTTTATTCAACCCTACTGAGGCAGGAGAATAGGATCTGGAGGCAGGAAACATAAAGCAGATTCATGCAGACTTCCAAGAACTAAACGAAATGGAAACACTTCAGGCCAGGCGCAGTGGCTCACAAGTGTAATCTCAGCACTTTGGGAGACTGAGGTGGGTGGATCACCTGAGGTCAGGAGTTTGAGACCAGCCTGGCCAACCTGGTAAAAACCCATCTCTACTAAAAACGCAAAAATTAGCTGGGTGTGGTGGTGGGCACCTGTAATCCTAGCTACTTGGGAGGCTGAGGCAGGAGAATCACTTGAACCTAGCTACTTGGGAGGCAGTGGTGGCAGTGAGCCAAGATCATGCCACTGCACTCCAGCCTGGGTGACAGAGTGAGACTCTGTCTCAAAAAAAAAAAAAAAAAAAAAAAAAGGTCATGGAAACACTTCAGCTATAACAAGAAATATACTCTCCATTTACATAGGACATACACCGAATAAATGACTTTGTGACTTACTTCATCCTCTCCATTTACATAGAGCATATATCAAGTGACCAGTGGAAACGTCTCCCACCCTGTGGAGTGCACTTTCATTTCATAAATCTCTGCTTCTGTTGCTTCATTCTTTCCTTGCTTTGTTTGTATGTTTTGTCCAATTCTTGGTTCAAGATGCCCAGAACCTGGACACCCTCCACTGGTAACATATTGTGGCAAGCACACCAGGAAGTAAGCCCAACGTTTGGGATTTTCTGTCTTTTCTTTTCCGCTCTATATAGGGGAATCTCTCCCTCTCTCTTTTCCTCTCCAACTCGGGACCCTTGGTGGGTAGTGCCTAAACACAGAGGCAACTGCAGGTTTCTGGGTGGGGTCACTCTAAAGGGCTTTTTTCTATCTTTTCTGGTTGTGGTCCCTGATCCCTACGTGTGGTGCAGCTCCGGGTGAACCTGCAGCTCAGGGCGAACTTGCAGCTCAGGGCAAACCTGCTTGTGTTTCAGGTGATGGAAACCCTCTTTTCTATGCTAAGTTCTTCCCTTACCCTACTTGACTGGCTAAGGACAAAAGAAGCCTACTCAGCTTCCAGTTCCCATCATTACAGTTCATGGCTATCACTCTAGTGGAACAGGAACCATGGGAAAGCATGGCCTTATCAAGTCATAAGGATGCTAAACACTGGGGATTATACCCAGGAACCAAAGGAAAGCTCACAGTAGGCCACTGACTCTGGAGGGAAAACATGCAAGGTGGCATTGGTGCCCACCTAAGGTCAGAGATATCTGACACTCTAAGATTGGACCCCAAAGGGTGATTTCCCAGGGGATCCTCCAGACCTCAACCTCTCCAAAGGGGATGCCCTCGGCAGTGGTTCTGAGGACTAGTACTATAAGCCTTCCTTAGAATTTTCTCTTGCAGTTGCAGTACTGTTTGGCCCCAGTATTTGGAATCTGGAGTTTGCTGTTGAACGGGAAAGTGGAATGGAGTTCCATGTATCCAGGCTTTGGTACTGCTGTTCTAAGCAGGGTCAGGCCTAGTTATTATGTGATGTTCTCCTTTGGTGCTGTTTGGCACCATCAAACTGCCATGAAAATTGTTTTACCTGAAATATTGGTTCACAGCCTTCATTGGAGCTTCATTTAGCCCAACAGGCGTAAACAAAATAAAACTGGCAACCTTGGATTGCTATTTCATGGTTATGGTTAGGGATCCAAGATAAAAGATACTGAATCTTCATTTGTGTGTGTATATACACATGTCTAGATGTGTTTATTTATATGTTCAATTGTTATATGTTGTGTCTACCAAATTGGCTTATAAGTAAAAGAGCACTCATAAATTAAGTAAATAAGTCTAAGCAATTTTCAAGTTCACATGATTTAAGTATAACTTTACTAAACAAGCTAATTTTTAAATTATTGGTAAAGTAAAAATGGAAATGCCTTCAGAATTGTCAGCATACATTTTGTCTGGATTTTATTTGTCTCTGCTAGATATTTTGATGTGTTAGGGTTTGGCATAGAAGGTTATAAAGCTATACCGGTTACTTACTACATTGTTTCATAAGTAACCTTTTCAAATCTGTAATTTGAGCTAAATTTCAAATAACTTCTAAATTAGACAAAATTATTCTTTTTCTCACTAATAACACAATCTTTCTGACATGTTTTGTATACAGAATTATGTGTTAACTAGAATTCTTATCCTTAGTAACATAAAACTTTAGTGAAATGCTAAAAGCAAGAAATCCTGAATTATCTCATATGGGCATTTATAGATAAGAACAATTCCACAATTTTAGAAACATATTTCCCCATATCATGACCATTCTTAATTGGAAATGGCCCGGATATTAAATGAGCAGCAAAAATAATTTTAAGACTTTACACAAAAGTTTACCTAAAACATTTGTCCCATTCACTGTACTCCTTTCACTTTTAACAGATTATCTAGATTACCTCTGTAAGCCAAGATATTAGACACTATCATTTAAAGTTAGTTATTTCCTTGTTAACCATGTTTTGAATAGCCTGTGAATATCGGGTGCTCACCTAAACCTAACAGCCTCAACCTTAAACAAAGGCCATCGCAACCTTATACACAAAAAATACTTCCGTGAGGACAGCTACCCATCAACTGCCTGTCCAGCCTAGTACTGATGCCATCCTTGTGGTTGATCCTTGTAATGGAGGATAATTATTTCAAAACAATTATGGAATCTGATTCATTTTTTCTTGAAAAATCTTTGTCTTCCTTTACACCTCCCTGAATATGCACATAGTTGACTACTGCATGCATATTCTCATTGCAATGCCTATTCCTGAATAAACATTATTTTCCTTTAGAGTCTTCCTCTCTGCTTGTTATTTAGCTTGATACCCTTCAGGGCTGCACAAAACCTCAACGTGCACAGAGACAAAGAAAAAAAGAGAGGAACTGGGGTTGGACCTCGTGACTCGCAGCTATAATTACAGCGTTTTGGGAGGCCAAGGCAGGAGGACTGCTTGAGGCCAAGAGTTCAAGACCAGCCTGGGCAACATAGTGAGACCCTGTCTCTGCAAAAAACATTTTTTTAATTAAAAAATAATTAGCCAGGCATGGTGGCATACACCTGTAGTCCCATGCACTTGAGAGACTGATGCAGGAGCACTTGAGCCCAGGAATTCCAGGTTACTATGAGCTGTGATCACATGCCACTGCACTACAGCCTGGGCAACAGAGCAAGACCCTGTCTCCAAAGAAGAGAAAAGAGAGGAACTGGCACTCTGCCTTTATTACTAATGTGTCTGCCAGTAGCTAGGTAGAGACATTTTTGATTGTGCAAGAAGTAAAACATAGATGTTAAGTGTTGTGTTAGGAAGATTTACAATATGATTTTGGCACACCCTCAAAAGCCAGGCCACTGGGGAAATGTCAACAATGTTGGCTGTTAGTTTGGTCTGGTGATCAATGGATGCCAAATCATCAATGATAATATCTATAAAAATTGATTAGAGCAGTCATTTAAGTAGGAGTTGCAGGAGATGGAAAGGTTGGCAGGAACCAGGCCAGAAGGGATTTTGCGTGCTATGTTGAAGAGCTTAGAGTTTATCCAGAATGCAGTAAGAAGTTTCATTTGGAGCGACATAGATAATTGGCAGATCTGCAGAGAACTATGACTTGAGAGGAAAAAAAACTGCAAGCAGAGAGACTAGCTGAGAGCATTTAGGCAAAAGATGCAGTATTTAGGCAAAGGTTGCTCAGAGTCTAACACAGAAACAGAAATAGGTATAAAAAAAAGGGCACAAATTTGAGAGATGTCTGAGAGTTAAAATATATAGGATGTGATTAGTTGGCTATTGTGAATTAAGTAAAAGGAATGTTATCAAGGCTGCATCCTAGGTGGTGGGTATGGCTGACTAGGAAGATGAGATGTGGTTGTTGCAGTCTGTTGAGATGGTTTTTGTTATCGTGCATTGGTGCATAAGAACTCTCCCTTCATGTCCTTTCCCCAGCTCCATTTCTTCTGATTAAAAAAAAAAAAAAAGTGACTCGATTTTGATTCTTTTTCAATGGCAATATGGAACTGTAATAAACTTTTTTCAATCTTTCAGTGACACTGACATCTTGTCTACTCAGTCATGCAATTAAATTGTGTACATTTTAAAACAATGACACCTGTTTAAGGACAGACTGTGAACTGGAACCCTCTAGGCTGGCCACTTTTGGTGTTGCATTTGGGCCACAAGTTTTTTTAACGCTTTTAATTACCTACCAAAATTTCAAAAGTGGAAAGTTTCCTATAAAAATCTGCCTTTATTGTTTCTCTTGAAAACTGAAAGAACTGGCCACCCAGGTCCCACAACACCTACCTGGCTGAATACGGTCTGCCCCACTTTCAGCAGAAATAACCTCTGCAGTTTTCAACAGCCGCAGCTCTCCTAGTCGTTGATTTTCCTAGCTGCTTCCCTTAAGGCAGACATTTGAGTTTGAGTCCTAGATTTACAGTGCAGGGGTAGTGAATTAGTTACGCTTCTCACGTACTCATTTTCTTCTGCACAGCACCTGCTTTTCCTTTAACCACTCGCAGATGCTAATTCATTCTTTAGGACTCAGTTCCAGTCTCCAGCAGCTTTTCTCTGAACTCATGATGGACTCCGCGTCCCATTATGTATTTCCACATCGCTCCGTATATCCACCGGTTACATCCCTTGCCACATTAAATTCAGATTAAATGTTTGTAGTATGCTTGAGTTCTTCCCAAGTCTCACATCACTTAGCGACAGCTGGGAAATCCTCAGTGGCAATCTCGGGAGCCATTCATTAATTTTATCATACTTTCAACAGCCACAACGTAGGTGACGACGACTGACTTATCTCTTAAAAGACGTGCGTGTCCCTCTACAAAAAACTTGTGTGTCCTTACCGTTCCGCAGGAAGACGGAGTACCAGAGAACTACAACTCCCATCAGGCACTTGGGGATCGCCGCGGCCTGAAGGGGCGACCATGGCTTAGGAACTACCGTTCGCGTGAGGCTCTGCTCCTCGCGCCTGCGCAGAGCGCTGGGCCACGTCTCTTTTTGCGGTGGCAGAGACCACGCGTCTCACCCATGGCTTCCGCGGACTTGCGCCGGGTGGCGGATGGCGGCGGTGCTGGGGGAACCTTCCAGCCCTACCTAGACTCCTTGCGGCAGGAGCTGCAGCGGACGGACCCAATGGTGTTTTCAGTGGTGGTGGCGCTTCTGGCCGTGCTGGTGACGCTAGGTAAAAGGCGGCGAGTGGTTATGGCGGGTTCGGGGCGGGCAGAGGTCCGGGCTTTGGCTGCACTGATGCAGGCCGGGGACGCGGGGCTGGGAGGGCGCTTTGGGGGCTTCAGGAGAGTGAGACTCACCCAGCCTACACTCCACTCTCTCGCCTAAAGCAGCGGCAGGAGCGGAACGTTAAGCGGGATCCCGGGCAACCCTCGCAGTTACGTCCTGGTCTTTGGGGCGCGGATTGTTCTTCGTCATCCGGCCCTGTTAGGCTTTAGCGCGCTGTTCCTCGCCTTCCGCTGCTCTCACTGCAAAGTCTCAGGGTCTTTACACCAACTTTCAGCCTCCCGTGTTTGCGTGCGGGCGCTGGGGATACCAAGATAGCGCTTGAGGCCCGAGTCAGAGTAAGGAGTGCAAAGAAAAGTTGACTGTTGACAGTGCCTGGCTCTCAGTGGATCCTTAACAACAACAACAACAGTAACCATTATGATTAAAAAGTCTATTCCAGGTAAATGAGGTGTTTCGTCACAGACTTCTGTTATTTTGCCCACCCCAGCCATGCACATAAACTGATTACCAAGGGATAACTTCTGTTGTTTTTCTCTGTCTATTCCACAGTGTTCTGGAAGTTAATCCGGAGCAGAAGGAGCAGTCAGAGAGCTGTTCTTCTTCTTGGCCTTTGTGACTCCGGGAAAACGTTGCTCTTTGTCAGGGTAAATGATTTCATTTACACCCCTGTTAAGCTTAATAGAAAATTGTATACCATTCCAGTATTCCTGTCATCTCCTGGTTTATTTTGTAAAAGAGGCTGATGCCGATAAATTTGGGAGTTAATTCATACTTGGGAGAACAAAAAGACTCTTAGAAACGCGTGAGAACTATTGATTATTTCTATGTATTTTTTTGCCCTTGCCAGACGCTATTTAGTCTTTATCACATTTAAGTGTTTTATTTAACTAGTTTCATTACAGAATAGCGGAAGGCATAGAAGCCACTAACTGTCTTTTGAGAATAATGTTTTTCTTCCATTGAGGAGAGAGGAGTAAAGTTAGAAATTAATTAGGTTTTTTTCTACAGGTAAAAAAAAATCAATATGGTCTTTTTTTACCTGTTGCAAGCAGTATTCATTTACTTGACTGGGAGACTTAGGATAATATTACTCAATTTAGGTTTGCTATTAAAATGTTGAATATCTCCCATCTTGTTTTTTTGCAGTTGTTAACAGGCCTTTATAGAGACACTCAGACGTCCATTACTGACAGCTCTGCTGTGTACAGAGTCAACAATAACAGGGTAAGGTGTTTGTGGAGTTTTGGAGTCTGACAGGCTTACTTTACTGTGGTGTGTCAGTTACGGACATTTTTAGGATGAGTTCATCTGGGGATGTACCATTTGTAGCTTGTTTTTATGGAGAAACATATTCTATGTGATAAATTCTGCTCTTGACAATCCGTGCAGGAGATTGAATCATGTCCTCCTCTGCTTTATTTTACTTTAATGTACAGTAATGTTACATCATATTTTATTCTTATTTTTTTTTTCTTGAGTCTTCTTTCCAGCTTTACAATGAGTTCTTAAGAGTGGGCATTAAGCCTTTTATGTTTTGAATGGGTAATACATGCACATGGGACAAAAATCCAAAAGGTTAGAAATCAAATTTGATGAAAAGTGATTTTTCCTTTCCTTTCCCCACTACCCAGTCTTCTCCTTAGAAGCAATAACTTACTTTTTTTACGTGTGGCCTTCCAGATGTTCTGTGCATACACAAACATATTTGTATATACTTTATTGCTTTTTTCTTTTTAAATACTGTTCTGCCCATTGTGTTTTTTCAGTATGGCTGCTACAACTTGGGCTTTTCTTATTCTCCTACATTTGTATACATAGTACCACCTGGTTGGTTTATGAGCTGCATGGTATTTTACTGTGTTGCTAGACCATACAATTAAATTCTTACTTAATCAGGACCATGTTAATAGACATTTAGTTTTGTTATTATAATCTTTTGCTTTTACAAACAATGCTGCAGTGGATATCTTACAGAGTATATATGAATATATGTTGAATATAAAGAATCATGGGGCTAGGCACAGTGGGTCATACCTGTAATCCCAGCACTTTGGGAGACTGAGGCAGGCAGATCACTTGAGGTCAGGAGTTCAAGACCAGCCTGGCCAATGTGATGAAACCTCGTCTCTACTAAAATTATAAAAATTAGCCAGACTTGCTGGTGAGTACCTCTAATTCCAGCTACTTGGAAGGCTGAGGCATGAGAATCACTTGAACCTGGGAGGCGGAGGCTGCAGTGAGCGGAGATCACACCACTGCACTGCAGCCTGGGCGATAGAGCAAGACTCAAGTCTCAAAACAAAACAAAACAAATATAAGGATTCATGGGAAAGACTTTTTACATACCTTTGTAGCTTCAAAATGTAGACAGTCACTACCACACCAATTATAATGCATAATAAGTTGGTTTTTTTTTTTTTTTTCTTTTTTGAGACAAGAGTCTCACTCTGTTGCCCAGGCTGGAGTGCAGTGGCACGATGTTGGCTCACTGCAACCTCTGCCTCCCTGGTTGAAGTGATTCTTCTGCCTCAGCCTCCTGAATAGCTGTGATTACAGGTGCCCACCACCATGCCTGGCTAATTTTTGTGTTTTTAGTAGGTACGGGGTTTCACCACATTGGCCAGGCTGGTCTCGAACTCCTGACCTCAAGTGATCTGCCCACCTTGGCCTCCCAGTGCTGGGATTACAGGCATAAGCCACTGCACCCAGGCACGTAATAAGTTTTGGTGAGTGAGTGGAGTGAGGGCTGGGTGGCTGGTTGCAGGGTGTGGATGGATAGACGGATGAATCAGAATTGTGGTTTGGGACTTTTTCTTCTTCTCTTTATGTTCTCCTTTCCTCTTTCTCATGCCTCCAGAATTAAACATTGTAAACAAAGATAAAGGAACATATTTTTATGTATCTTAGAGATACCTTTGTTTTTTGGTGATGACATTCTTTTTGGCCTAGACCATTTCAAACTCCCAGGGATTGAGATTTTGAAATTCCAGGTTGGAAAGATCATCTAGTACCTGTACCAAATTTTTAAAGTAGGATATTCCAGGATATCTTTTGACCTGTACCTTCTAATACGTAGCCATTGGCCAGATGTGACTGTTGAGCATCTGAACTAAGAATAGTCGAAATTGAGGCATGCTGTAAGTGTGAAGTATACCCTAGATCTTGAAGACTTAGTATGGAAAAAAAGAATATGAAGTATCATGAATAATTTCTTTTTTTATTACATGTTAAAAGGTAATATTTTGGATATATTAAATAACATTATTAAAATTAATTTTACCAATTTCTCTTTACATTTTTATTATAGTTACTGGAATATTTAAAATTACAGGCTGGGTGCGGTGGCTCATGCCTGTAATCCTAGCACTTTTGGAGGCCAAGGCGGGCGGATTGCCTGAGCTCAGGAGTTTGAGACCAGCCTGGGCAACACAGTGAAACCCCATCCGTACTAAAATACAAAATAAATTAGCTGGGCATGGCGGTGTGCGCCTGTAGTCCCAGCTACTCAGGAGGCTGAGGAGGAGAATTGCTTGAGGGAGGCGGAGGTTGCAGTGAGCCAAGATTGTGCCACTGCACTCCAACCTGGACAACAGAGCGAGACTCCATCTCTCAAAAAAAATAAAATTACATATGTGGCTTCTGTTATTCTATATTTCTACTATATTTCTATTCCATTTCTACTGAATATATAGAGCATTTTTTTCCCTTCCTTCTTCACGTTTTCTCCTACCCCTTATGTTTTTGATCTAATCTCGTTAGATAGTAATGTACCTTGTAATGTATCTTCTAAATTGCTTATAGCGTGTGGTGTAGTGCTGCTTTTGAAATGGAGCAGTAACTCCCAACCTGAGGTTTCCATTCTAACAGTACTTTAAAATGGCGGCGGAGGTGGGGGGTTAATAAAAACATTCTATTTGTCTATAAAGAAATGCATAGGTTATGTGAAAGGTAAGGGCATGATAAATCCAGCTGGAATTAAACCTGTACAGGATACTGATTGCCTGCTTCTGAACTGTGGGTATGGTTGGCTGTGGATAAGGTAGAGCATCTGAGAAATGGTTAGTGGGTCTGCTGCATGTACCAGGCCACACCTGAGAGTCTTATCATTGAGCACAGCCACATTTACACTGAATATGAGCTCTAGTCACCATTCCAGGCCTTGACCTTGTACTCAAGAATGGCAGTCTAGAACTTACTAGGATGCATCATAGATTTGCTCAGTAGGGGCTCAAGAATTGACAGAAATATTGATGGAGTAGAACAAATAAATGATGTGTCTAAAGACAAATATTTAAAAAGTTAGGTTAAGGGTGGACATGATAAAATCGTGTGTTGTTATAAAGATTGGAGATCCCAGTAAGAGTAACATGCTCTATGAAAAATTGTAAGTTCTTCTATTACATTACTAGTTTATGAGTATTTGTTTCTGTTTTCACATTTTTGCTTATACTCATCCGCTACTCCTACTTTGCCGTACTCATACTAGCTTGTCTCCCAAGTCTCAGGTAGATCACACTTCCCTGACACCCCCAGACAGGTTTCTCCTGTACCCTCAGAACATTTATCAATGTTCTCATTTTATGTTTTTGTGTAATTTTACATTAGGTTCACCTTTCTCATAAATTTTGCTATATCAGGAACCATGTCTTTGGCCACTCTTCCATCTCCAGAACTTTGGCTAGTGTTTTATGAGTAGAAGATGCTCTGAACATTTGTTTGATTAATCAATAGGTGCCAGTTTGATAGCCAATATACGATACTAAAGGTTTATATTGTGAATGTGTAACTGTACTGAAACGTTATTATTGCTGCCATCCTCAGGGCAATAGCCTGACCTTGATTGACCTCCCTGGCCATGAGAGTTTGAGGCTTCAGTTCTTAGAGCGGTTTAAGTCTTCAGCCAGGTAAGAAGGAAGGAATTGAAGTGGGCTTGTCTAGGTCTGTATGTGTATATCAAAGCCACTCATGTGAATTGCTCTGGTGGTGTTTGGGAAGCTATATGGTATCCTGTGGGAGACCTTGAGGTGGCCTTGAGGTCAGCCAGTTCTGAGTTGTAAGTCCACCTTCACCTGGATTATGAGGATTTTATGGGATTAAAATGCTTAAAAAGTGTTCTTTAGTGTTTAGGAAATGTTAATCTTTCTTGTCATTGTTATTAAATTTTGCATTTATTCTGAAGAAGAATTTAATAATGTATATGACTATTAAAATCTGAAAAAAGAAATTTAAAGCTGGAATGAATCCTAGAAGTTATTAAATGCTAACATCATTTATATATATATTCTTAAATTACCTAAAATTGATGTTTGAAGAAATACAGAACAGTATTTCTATATTTCTTTTAGTGTGTGCCCTGGTGTTACTGACTTTTAAGTTCTTCCCTAAACATCCTATGCTGCAGTTTCAGATGGTGCTCTTTTGGTCTAACATTAATAAGAACTGAAGAGGAAAATCAGTATGCCACATTTCACTGATTTGAAGTCACATTTTAACGTCTCTGAATTTGGAGTTCTTATAGTTGGTGTCATAGGTTAATTGGGAGTATTTTCTCTTAGTGGTGCCTAAATTAATGTCTTTTCATTGGCAGCATCTTAGTTTTTTGATGGAAGGAAGTAGTTGATTCTTTGGCTTTTATTGAAGATGTCTAGACTGAGATTTCATTATTACTTCTTTGCCCACAAGATGGTGGTGATGAGCAATTTGTCACAGATAAGAATATTCTTATTCCTTGGACAATTGAGACAAATCAGGAACTGGTAAATTTAGCCATAATTGGGTTTTTATTTCCAATTAAATTTTTTTTCCAGTTCTAAATATTTTATGATTTGCAGTGTAAGTACTCTGTGATTCAAGTATTTTGGGCAAATAAAACATGCAAAATATGAAGATAAAACTTAGTTCAAATAAATTATAATCATGATATATACAAGTTGAAAAGACATTTCATATATTGGTAGGTGACCTTTTAATCCTATTTTCTGTTCGACAAGTTTCCTCTGCAGCTATTCTGCCTCTCCTGATTTGAACAAATGGTATTGCTGAACCTATCATGGTTCCCCTCCCCCACTTTTTAAACATTGCTTATTTGATTGTCTGAAACCAATATCAGTTTCCCTTTGCTGAACTTTCAACACTTTAACTTTGATCTTCCTCACATCCTCCTTTTCCTTATGCTCCTTTTTAACCCCCAACCACCCTATTTTTTTCTCTGACGTTCAGTGACGAGAGTTACCAGGATGCCTATGGTCTTTTGCTCCCTGTTGCTTCTTGCATTTTACTTCTTCCCTTTCAAGTCAGTTTTCTCTCACTGAGTATATCTTTTAGAAGTATTTCCAGAGAGGGTGATGAGTGGTCAGATGTTTTCAGTCTTTGTGCATTTGTAACACTCTTTATTTGGCCTGCATTTTGGAATGACTGTTTCAGCTGAGTGCAGAGTCCTGGGTGGCAGCGCATCACTCCTGACCTCATACATCTGTTGTAGATGAGAACGCTGTTGCCAGTCAGTCTAATTGTCGTTGCACTGTAGTAAGTCTGCCTGATTTGGCCTTCTATCCAGGGATAGGTTTTCTTCTGTTCAAGGATGGATTTAGCGTTATCATTCTTGGAATTCAGGTGTGCTATTCCAGACCAAAGAGTCTCCTCAGTTTTCGAAAATTCTCACCATCGTCTCTCCAGGTAGTGCTGTTTCCCCATTCTCATTTCTCATACCCTGGAATCCTTATGAATGTTATTGAACCTTATTTCTGCCTTTCTTATCTCCTCCCTATCATATTTTCCAAATCTTTCTACCTTGCATATTGTAAGATTCTCTCAAATTTGTTTTCTGGTTTATTACATTCTTTTCAGCTGAGTGTAATCTCTGCCTAACTTTTCCATGGATTAATCTCATTTACTATATTTGTCTAAAATGCTTACCTTTCAAACCAACCTGTTTCTTTTTATACTATTCTATTTTTTATTGTAGTTTGTAGTATTTTCTTAAATAATTTTTAACATTTACTTTATAGATAGCTTTATTATCCTAGTTTTGGGGTGCTGATTATTCTCTCTTGGAGGTGCCAGTTATTCTCCCTCATAATTGTTTATTTTCTTCTGTGCCTTGTAATTTTTGATCCAGAACTTTCCTTCAAGAGTGACACGTTGATACTGTGGGTATCAACAATGGATTAAATATCTTGAAGATATTTAATACATTAGGATATGAAAGCCTTGCTCCATAAGCGTTCATATTTCCTTCTGTTGGGGCCATCAGGCTTCAATAAATCTGGTCTAATTTTTATGTAAACCTTTCCCTTGGGGTTCTTACACCTGGAGAGAGTATAAATTCATACCCTACATCTGTGTGAGGCAGTGGAGGCCTGGTGTTCTAAGGTAACTTTTTCCCCAAGCCCCGACCTCCATGAGACTATTAAGTTGTAGGCTTTGTGCAAGGTGTTCAGTTCTACCTCCCCAGCTGCATGTTGGCCATTGCATGTCTCTTATCTCTACCTGGGCATTCAAACCCTTGTCCATAAGGCTTGTATTTTGTTTTCCGGGTTTTTTTTTTTTTGAGATGGAATCTCGCTTTGTCTCCCAGGCTGGAGTGCAGTGGCATGATCTCAATTCACTGCAACCTCTGCCTCCCGAGCTCAGGCAGTTCTTCTTAGCCTCTCGAGTAGCTGGGATTACAGGTGCCCACCACCACACCCGGCTAATTATATTTTTAGTAGAGATTGGGTTTCACTATGTTGCTCAGGCTGGTCTCAAACTTCTGACCTCAAGTGATCCACCTGCCTTGGCCTCCCAAAGTGCTAGGATTACAGGTGTGAGCCACTGTGCCCAGCCCCTAGGGCTTGTTGTCTGCAGTTTCCCTGGGCTGATGTACGTTAGCTTTGATATCTCTTTGTTTCTGTCACATGAGGAGTTCCACTATGGGTGCCTTAATTTAGGCCTTACCTGCTCACTGTGCTTCTAGTTCAAGCGCACTCGAAGATTGCTTTGTCTTCCATTTAGGCACCAGTATTCTTCATAAGACAGAAAAGCATAAACTCTACAGGTCATTGTGTTATGCTTCACTGTCTGACTCAGATCTCCCTGATTTCCCCATCTCCCTGTGTACCAGCTTACCTTGACTTCCCCAGGGAATGTGTTTCACATATGTGTGCCTTGAACATACTGTAGGCGGAGCATCCCTTATCCAAAATGCTTGGAACCAGAAGTGTTTTAGATTTGGATTTTTGGATTGAGGATACTCAACCTGTACTTTCCACACAGTCTGTGCCCCAGTTTTTTGGTCTGGCTAAGATTCAGTTCAACTGTTACATCCTCCTGAAAGTTTTCTTTGACCTGGTCCGATTTAAATGATCTTTCTCTTTGTTCCTGTTGCGTGTGTGCATAGTTCTGCCTTGGCATTTAATCATATTGTTCTCTATATAATGATGTGTCTTTGAGGACAGGCATCATTTCTTAATTGTCGTTTTTCAGCTTCAGTCATTGATACACCATAGCACTCAATAGTTCCTTGTTAAATGAGGATTTGTGTTACCTGATGACATATGCAGACCTGTATGTGTGTCTGCTGAGTGTTAATCACCAAGATTGACTTTGAAGAAATTCAGGATAGTTTTTCAAGGTAATGATGTCCTGTTACATCTTCACATGCCAGTTTTTCTTTTTTTCTCCCTCCAGGGCTATTGTGTTTGTTGTGGATAGTGCAGCATTCCAGCGAGAGGTGAAGGATGTGGCTGAGTTTCTGTATCAAGTCCTCATTGACAGTGTGGGTCTGAAGAACATACCATCATTCTTAATAGCCTGCAATAAGCAAGGTGCCATCATGTTTTCTGGCAATAATTCAGTTTTTTGGGGGTTGCTACTAATAATTACTTCAGTTATTTACAGTTGTTATTATTGAGAAAGAGAGATAATCGCTGTAAAAAACTATAAATGAAAGGATCTTAAATCTTAAAATTTATATCTACTCCTACCTTTTCACCAGTCTTCTAACCAGAAGACCAAGGAATAACAACCAAGTGTCTGCTAATTTTTCTTTGATACAGTGTTTTTCAGATTATAAATTATTTTACTTTACCAAGTTGAGTTCATCAGATTGACAATATGTGATATCAGATACACAATTTTGGAGGGTGGAGTCTCTGCTTTCAAACAAGTCTACCGTACAGCACATTTTATCAAGGGGAGTTTGCTGACGTTGTTTTCTTTTAACCTGATAACCATTGAAAACTTTCTAGTAATCCCCAATCAGACGGGACTTCAGTTCCATTACCTGTACAGTAAGATAAGTCTAGTGGATCTCTTCAGGTTTCTTTCAGATCTGAAATTCTGATTCTATGAAGAGTCCAAGGCATTTCTCAGAAGTGATCAGATAATAACCTTAATAATACCTTATCAGGAATGCAGTTATTAGCCTCATGACCTGACCTCTTTATTTCTCCGATTCAGTGTAAGGTGGGGAGCTATTGTTTATTTGCTTTGTGGCAAACCAGGGCTTGTTTCTTACCTTTAGTATACTTGATGCTTTAAACCTATTGTCTTAGTATCAGCTGGAAATGTGCTAAGTGTACTTTTAAATGGCATGTAGGGTATTGTCTTTTGGAGTGTGAAGGCACTTCTTACAATCGTAGCACTGGTAGGCTTTCTTTTTGTTAAACTGATTAAACATATATATGTATTGAATTGAAAGGTCTGTTAGGTGTGGAGAACTTGTTAAACTGATTAAACATATATATGTATTGAATTGAAAGGTCTGTCAGATGTGGAGAACTAAAGTTCTCCACACCTGACAGACTTATATATCCTGCTTTAAGCGTTTAAAGGTAAAGTTAGTTTTAGGGTCACCAGCATAATATGTTTATAAGCATTATCTTGGGAAAACCCCTAGTGCAAGTATAAAGCTTACTTTGATAGAGAAGGAACTAGTGATAAAAGGCATTTAAAAAAAAAAAATAAAGGGAAAAGAAACTTACTGGTTTAAATAGGAATTTTCCTTCTGTATCAGAAGAAATCTTGGGAAAAGACCCATTCTTGTTTAAACTACAACAGTGTCTTTACTTCTTTACAGATATTGCAATGGCAAAATCAGCAAAGTTAATTCAACAGCAGCTGGAGAAAGAACTGTAAGTGTGAAAGAGGCCTGTTGGTTAATTATATATCTTAACACTTAGACTAAGCAGCATATTCATGTTTCATTTGTTTGGTTGTATGTGATTATCACAATTATAGACTGAGAGTAGTGGAATTATATATTTGTTAAATAATTTACAAAATAATGGAATCACAAACTATTAATAGGATGCTTATAGATATTTTAAAATTTTATAGATTTTTTGAAACCATAAACTCAATTTATCTTACCATTGTTACTAAATCATTTACAGTTGAAATGAAATGTTTTAGAAGCTAAAAAATGTTACATGCCAACTTGAGAACAGTGTTATTTCAGTGAGTGGAAGTGTTAGCTCACCACTCAATAATGCATGTGAAGTGGTATTTAAGGATGCATGTAAATAATAAAAAATAAAAACAATCAGGAAAAAAGAAATCATTTAAAAGCCACTTTGGAAATTATTGTTGGTAGAATAAGAACAATGCTGAGGAAGACTGGAAGTCTTTGATACTATATTGTAGCTTCCTAGATTGTTAAGGTAGTTGGCAATCTTATATATCCTGCTTTAAGTGTTTAAAAGCTTGTAAATTGAGCTATAAGCTTTTGAATTTTAAGGAATCTCTCATGTCATCTGTGTTAGGCAAATTTGTAAGAGCTAGCCAAAAGCTGGCTTAGAAGAAATGATCAACATTTATAGTAAAGCAAATTATGTTTTCTTACTGCTTTTGTGTAAGGCCTTGAAAAGGATCTGATGAGGAAAAGCTGTATAAATTCAACTTTTAGAACCTTTTCTCCCCACTATGATTTACTGACTCCCTTATTTATTTAAGAAGCACCTGTAGTGCATCTGGTGTTTGCCAAGCTGCAGTCAGGATGCCGCTGTAGGAGGACGTGGGTTCCTGTACTCAGGAGCTTAGATTCTGCTAGAATCTAGTCAGCTCCTGGCATTGGCAAACTCCTGCCGAGAGCCTGCAAGCCAAGAGTAGATCTACAGTTTTGAAGGGCAGGTAAAAAACAGAAGAAAAATATATGACAAAATATTGAATTTCTGGCTTTTTGCAGAACGATCTTGCTGGCCCTGGCCATCCCATTTTCAATGGTGCCTTTCCCTCCTGGAGCTGCGAGTTTATCACCCTGTCCCCCTGTGCTCTTGATGCTCACTCTCTTGGATTGTATACGTTGCTTGCCATTAGGTTAATAAGGACGTTGGAACAATGGGATGATTGGATTTTTCTAAAAATTCTCCTGCAATTGTTGGCAATTGTTTTGAGGAAACCAAAGCTATCATAATGATATTTGTGAATCAGTCTGGGTTATTTTTAGCAGACAGTCCAAGTCTTCCCATGGCTATAACACATTTTCCATAGGCTGTTTGGTTTTCATTCTGTAGAGTTAGAGAAAAACAATACAGAAGGCAATGCTTTATTAAACGGCAGTGAAACAAAATGTTGAAAAGTTGTAAAGGTTAACATCAGTTAAAATTAGGAGTCTGACTAATTTAAATTTAATCTCAGATTTGTGAGAATTAGGCCCCGTTAGCTTTGAGGCATTTCATAACCTCTGAATAAAAAAGTTTATTATATTTACATGGCCTTGTGGAAAAAAGCTTATTACATGTAATATGTTACTTTTTTCCTTAAAAATTTTTTATTGTAAAATATCTTACATACAAGAGTATATATGTCACATACATTAAGGTTAAGAAAATATTAAAATGAATACCTATGTACTCACCACCCTGCCTAGAAGGCCCCTGTTTCTTCCCAAAAGCTTTTCCCTCAAGAGGTCAGAAATATCCAGTTTTGTAAATAAGTGTGTGTGTGTGCGTGTGTTCCTAAACAAGGTATTGCTTAGTTTTGCTTGTGGATTCTTCACTAATTTTGAAGCAACTTCACAGAACAAGAAATGCTTTATTTTGTAAGAAAGAAGACTGGCAGCATGTATTCCTCTGCTTCTGGATAGCACAAAGGGAGGAGGAGGCTGGGAGTTGAGTGTTGCTTATGCACTCTTTATTAGGGCCAGCAGGTGGCAGTAAGGAGACTTACATTTGGAAGGTTTTAATGTTAAAGAGGTTGGAGAATAGTAATTGTGTCCGAGTTAGGAAAAGAGAATCTGGAGTTTGTGGATTTCTAAACTCCATATCCAAATAGACTCAAGATAAAAAAAAAAAAATACATACCCTATCTAGCCACACTTCACTTTGAGAAACTTATGTTTTTATAACACTTATAGCATGTATTTTAAAAAATATTTTTAAATGGCATCATTCAGGAGATCCTCTTAGAAGATGGGGGGCCCTGGGCTGAAGGAAAGTTGTGACCTGGTCCGCTGCTGACCTGCCCTCTAGCCCTGTGAGGTCCGACCCCCACCCCATCTACCTCCCCTGTCTGTCCAAGAGTGACCTACAAATGCAAAGGACTATTCAACAATCTTAATAGCGTAATTGTCAAGTCTATGGTTAAGTTTTAAATGAGTGCTGAAATGTTTAGAAACTAATATGATTTAGTTGCTGTATAAAAATGTTGCCTCCTGACTTGTTTCCTTTTGCCCCACAGCAACACCTTGCGAGTTACCCGTTCTGCTGCCCCCAGCACACTGGACAGTTCCAGCCCTGCCCCTGCTCAGCTGGGGAAGAAAGGGAAAGAGTTTGAATTCTCACAGTTGCCCCTCAGAGTGGAGTTCCTGGAGTGCAGTGCCAAGGGTGGAAGAGGGGACGCGGGCCCTGCCGACATCCAGGACTTGGAGAAATGGCTGGCTAAAATTGCCTGAGGGGCAGCTCCAAACCACGAAACCTGAATGTGTGTGACACACCGTTTCGGAAAAAGGGCTGTGGTAGTGCGGAGTTGATGAGGAAGGGGTACGAAATGTCGTTAGAAAATTTCTCTGTTCTGGAAACAAAGTACTGTTGAAACCAGCTTGGAATTTTTTTTTACTTTCAGTTTTCCCTTATGGCTGCCTTTCAAACAGGTACCTTTTATTTGATGCCTGTATCTTCCCTTTGTTAAGGTGCAACTTGAAGTAGGGTCAAGGTTTTTGTGGCACAACAAGCAGACTCCACACAGCGAGGCGTCTGTGGTGAGAATGTGGTCATCACCTGAAAATGTTCTTACCTTCTGCTTCTGTGCTTCCGTCCCTTTTTCCTGGAAACAAACCTGCCTATGTATGAAGCCAGTTGATTTCCAGTTGCACTATTTCCAGTTGCTTCTGAAGTTCTGAGGCAATACATTGTCTAGTCCTTTGCGAATTTCTCTGATTTGTGGGCACGGTTACCAAGTTTCCCCACATGTGAAGCCAGGTACAAAATAGCTGAGCTAAGCAGACAGTGGATCTGTTCTTCATCAGCTCAGTAACTTGTCCACACTTCAGTCTTAGCACTTATGTTTCAAAAGCTGGTCACAAGCCCTTGGAGTCATTCCCAGATAACAGAACTGGAAATGATAAATCCCCTAATGCCAAGGGTCTAGTGTGTTCTTAGTGGTTATACTGGGAAGTGTATGGACATTTAGTGCTGCTCTGCTCTGGACGGCTGAAGGCTCCTGGGCCATCTTCATGTGCTGCTTGAAGAGCTCCTGTTTTATACTCTTGGCTAGAATGTTGTGGAACAAATACAAAGTGAAAAAAGTTCTCTAGATTTCTGAAGTGCATATTCATTGATGCTAAAAAAAAGTTGCCTTTTTGAAGTGATGTTCTTTGCTGTCTTCTTAAACATAAGGATTTTTTAAATGATTAATATATTTCTTGGTAAGTAAAACAGCCTGTCTGGCTCAAAGCAGTTAAATAGAATGGAATGGTGAGTACAGATGGGAGCACATGTCAGGATTCAGGCCTAACGACTTGTTTCCTGAGCCCAAAGATTGCAATATAACCAGGAACACACACTCCTATTCCTAGCTGACACACTCAGGGACAAGCCCAACTAAAGCTTACAAGGAGACAAGGGTGCTTTGTCCAAGTGAGAAGCCAATTATGGAACAGTGCTTTAGGAGCCACGGTAGGAGAGGCCCACAGTTCTCTGGAGCATGCAGCAGGGGCACTGCACCTGGCCTTGAGGATCAGGGGGAGTCAAAGGATAAAGCATGGGGCTGATGACTTCTGAGGGAGCGTGATCCCCAGGTACGGCCTCTGCCTGCTGTGTCACACATCTCTTCTGGTGGGTCACTTAGGCTCTGGGAGTACACGTCAGACTATCATCATTCCTGGCAGAAATACTCCAAGCTCCCACCCCAAAGCATGTGTCAGCCTTGCTGCTGGAGCACAAAGACAATGTGAATGAAACACGAAATGGAGAAGTTGTGAGACCCTGACCCTGAGTCCTTGCTTGAAGCCTGCTGCTAGTGTTCTTACCTGTCGTTTGGACTCTCATCCTTTTCCTAATTAGCCAAGTAGTAACTTAGGAAGTAGGTAAGAGCAATGAATGTGATTTGTTCACAGAATCATAGTAGGAGGTCATAGTGGGAGTAAAAGTCAGTGGCCTGATGCTTCTGTTAAGAGGCATGTGTCCCTCTCGGCCTTTTTTCTGGTTAAGATTTTACTTTATTGGAGGAAGCAGCATACCAGAAAAAGTGACTGAAGAAGGACAGCAAGGTTGAGTTTGAGTATAGGCCTAAAGAAGGTCTTCCAAAAAAGGGAAATTCTACCTGGAACAGTGGTCTCAAATGTTCGTGGGCATCAGTATTACCTGCGATGCTTGTTAAGCTGATTTGAGAACCCTACTCTTAGTTTGATTCATGAGCAGGTCTGGTATTGCCTCAGGAATCTGCATGTTTAACAAGTCCTTCATCAGTCACATGGGGCTCCTGGGTACCCCTAGAGATGATCTGGCCTGGAGTGTCACGTGTGCCTTTACTCTGTTTTGTTTTTAAACAGAGTAAAGGTTGAAAGGTTTTGGGAAGGGTTTTGATGGGAGGTCAAGTGTGCTCTCCACTTGGGTGGTGCCCTCTTGTGGCCCTGAAGGCATTCGACTAAAGTAGGCCCATTTTGTGAGATGGGCAGGTGCAGCCAGAATAGATGGATGGATGTTGGGTCACGGAGAAAGGCATACTAGGTATGACTGTGTGACATAGATGAGTCACTTGAGCTTGAAACACGTTGGGAACATGGCAGTGTGTGGGCACCAAGACCTCCCAGGACAGCAGCTACCTAACGCAAATGACCCTGTTCCCTACTAAGGCTGTGGTGAGATGCCATCATAGAGGGGCAGCTGTGCTGAGTGAGCCCTGGGCACTCTGCTGGTGAGTATGTCCACTTTTGGAATGGAATCTCCCAGTGGGTATGGACACGGGCAGACCAAGAGAGGTCTGGGCACTGTTTTTTCCTCTGGCTCCTCTCTAGCCCTGGCCTTGGTAGCCTCTCCACCACCAGGTGCCTGACAGTCCACTGGCGGTTCCTAATCAATAGCAGCTGCTGTTGCTGGGAGTCCCTGGGGTCTGTCACTCTTTCCCATGGCCTCTGTCTCAGCGCCTCCTGGGATGTAAGTGCTCCCCCGTGGTCCTGCCTTGTGCAAAGCACTGGCCATGTTATGTTGACTTAGATCACTTCAGCCAGTCTACACTTTTTCTTGTTTTTGAAGTTTTGGGTTCAGCACAATTGTCAACGCTTCAGTTGGCTCATGCCCCGTCACCTGAAGGCCATCAGTGTCAATTAAGATGCCTCTCTCTCTCTTATCTCATCCCTTCACACATTTAAGGAAAGGTGATCACCACACCTACCTTCATTTGCGCAGGAAAACAATCGCACTTCCCTTCAACCATAAAGCTCGAAACTTGACTGCTCACAAGAGCCTTGTACGCAATCAGCCACTGAGTAAATGCCACACATTGCAGCAGACCCTGGAAATCCTAAACAAAACACAATTCTTTAGAGGCCTGTGGCCCTGTTCTGAGGTTAAGAAGTGTGCTCTTTCAGTGTGGTTTCCTTGCTCTTCCTGTCTCATTAGCGTGAGCTCCATCACAGCTGCACTTGACTTATAAGTACCGTGTGGGCCTGTGATCAGCGGCCAGCCATACAGCCCTAACAGGACCGCCAGTTTTCCATCAGCCTCTAAAATGTCAGTGTTCCCATGATGCTAATGTGTGAGGCACATGGCTGTGTTCTGTTGACTTGAATATTGTTTGAAGGGTTTTTCTGTTTTGTTGAGACAGAGTCTTGTTCTGTCACCCAGGCTGGAGTGCAGTGACACCATCTCGGCTCACTGTAATCTCTGCCTCCCGGGTTCAAGTGATTCTCCTGCCTTAGCCTCCCCCAAGTAGCTGGGATTACAAGTGTATGCCACTATGCCCAGCTAATTTTTTGTATTTTTAGTAGAGAGAGATAGGGTTTTGCCCTGTTGGCCAGTCTGTTCTCGAACTCCTGGCCTCAAGTGATCCGCCCACCTTGGCCTCCCAAAGTGCTAGGATTATAGGCATGAGCCACGGCACCTAGCCTGTATTTCAAGTATTGAAATCATTTTGTTTCAAAAAGTTTTTTTTAAATTTGAGTTTAGCATACAGTGACCTCCACACTCTTGTGCACCGGTGAGGAAAACCGTGCTGAGCAGTGTTACTGAATGCCACACCACGCACTCTAGGCAGGACGTTCACCAAGCTCTGCCATCCTCCCAACCATGGCTGAGGAATCCCAACAGCGCTTCCTTAGTCTGCCAAAGGCAGGAACTGCTGGACAGCTGGAGTGTGACTGCATCCCCAGTGAGATCACTCACTTCCCTATAGTGTGAAGTCATACCACCGTGAATTCTTGGGGAATGACTGCTTATCTTGGAAGCACTTCACTCAAGCCTTAGTCTGGCCCACGCAAGCACCTATCCATTGGCCCTCAGCCCTCTGATTTGCCACATCCCCTGTACCTGGTGTACCTCACATTTTACAACTGGCAGCCAGAAAACGTCTTCGTGGGGACATCCAGTTCCTGTCTCCTCTAATCAAAGATGGCTTCCTTGAGGAGGCAGCAGATTGGAAGGTGTTGTGGAACCTTTAGAAGCCTTAAAAGGGAAAGGAATTAGTAAAGTTGGACTTGAAGAAGAGTGAGATTCTCAAGCTAGGGCAATTTACCTAATCTCCACCTTTGTTCCTCTTTGGATTGGTCTCAGAACTCTGCTGGCTTCTGAGCATCTTTTAGTCTGGAGATAACTGAGACCTGGAGGGGCCACCCAGGGATGTTCCTAACTGGTGTGGGGTGGGGCTGGGGGTGAAACGTGGCAGCTAGATGTTGTCAAAGGTCATTCTAGTTCACCTTAAGTTCTTGCCTTTAAATGGCTTTCTGAAAATCTGAAGCATGAGAGATCCAGTCCCTGTAACCTCACCCCACTTCCTAATCCCACAGCCATGACAAGTACAGAGTGGGGATGAAGGAAGATCTCATACCCCTGACTCTCAGTTCTGCCCGGAGGCTCCCTTCCCATCAGCCTTTCAGCAGAAGGGAGATTAGGGAAATGTGTGTGGATTTACTCTCATGAGTGTGTCCCATCTTTCCCCATTAGGAGTTGATGGGCAACTCCTAAGGAGGAAAGATGGGACACACTCATGAGAGGAGTGTCCACTCAAAGCCCTTTGCTGTTTTGCTTCTTCCTCCAACTTCCCCGGTAGGAGGAAGAGGCAAAACAGCAAAGGGCTTTGAGTAGGGGACATACCACTCAGGCATGAGAAGAGGGACTTTGTGGAGCACACACCTGAGGAACTCGGTTTTTGACCCCCCTGTTTATGACAGCACCACTTAAACACAGACAAGAAGCTTTGTTTTGAGAATTAGGACAGTTTATTGTTTGACCAACATGCTGAGTCTTTTCCACATTTTACACAGTTTAATGTGAAGTCAACATGGTGGCTATGTCTTCTGAGCCCGTAACAGATGGAACTGCCACCCTCTGTGCTCCTCACAGCCAATCACTTTAAAGGGATGGGTGAGGGGAAAGTGAGGGGAGAAGTGGACACACACCGCGAGATGCAGGCTGGCCTTCTATGCTACGGAGTCTTCCCACCTCCTGAAGAAACCATCTAAACCCCTGCTACAAGGATTTCCTAATGAAACCACGCGCTGCTGGGAATGCCAACCAGACAGGGGTCTGGAGTCCAAGGAGTTTGCACATTGAGATCCCAAGGCTTTGGAACACCTAAATAGTTCATGTCAAAAATTCAAAGGGTGTCCTGATCGGTGTGGGTGCCCATGACAATGAGAGTAGACTTGGGGACTGGCCCTTCTGCAGTAGAGGAGCCCAAAATACCACCGATATTCTCACTCACATGCTGGGAAGAACCTAGTGTCCTAACCAAAGTGCAGAGATGGTCTGAGGAACACACCCATGCACAGCAGTCCTTGCTGTGTAATAAATATGGAGTTACATTTGTTCACACACAGGGCAGCAATGGATGAAGAGTGGAAACACATTGGTTCGGATCATTCCTAACTTGCTGGGGGATCCTCATCAAGTCGCCCTTCTCCATCCTAGTTTTCCTGCCTGTAGACAGGAAGTTATGAGAGCTCTGCCTCGCACAGCTGTAACAAGGTGATGATGCCTCATATTCTTTGGGGAGAGGTAGTTTGGAAAGGAGTGGGCACAAAACCTGCTTGGCTGATGTACACGGACATACTTCTGTTCAGCTGCACCTTATGTAGCTCACACACGCCTCACCGTCCTCAGCTCCCTGGTCTCATCTCATGTCCTGACATCCTCGCCTGCCTTTCAACTTGTG